TGTTTTGTGTTATGGTAAATACAGACTGACATAAAAATAGCTTACACTTAATAGGTAAATGCAAAGCAACCTTTGTATTTTAAATGGTAGGAGGATAGAAGAGAGGTTGTACTACCTTTAAGTAATGTGCTATGTAAAATTCCAGTCAAATCTCAGTCCCTACTTCCCTGTGTTTTCTCCAGCAGTATCTACTGATCCCAATCTGGTCACGTAAGTTTGTCAGTCTCTGTCGGTGTCAGAGAATGTATAGTCTTTCTGTCCATTTAAAAATATTCGGTTTTGGTCTGGACAATTTGACTCATCCTTTCTTCCCCATCCCATCTGCCCCTACGTACCTGATGGTCTCTGCATTTATCACCCCGGCCTTTGGTTTATTTCAAATCTGATTTTATTGTTTAGAGGGCATAACTCTTTTGCTTGTAAGGAAGCAGGTCTTCCCTCTTTCAAGCATTCATTACGCAGATCAGAATAGAGCCAGGTTTATCTGTTCTGCCTGTTTATCTTGTTAACTCTTATTGCTAGAGAAAGGAGTAAGCAGGGAGAGTAGCTCATCTTTTCCCTCATTTAGAGGCAGCATATGTGGGTAGGAATGCTTCAGAGCATGCTTTCCTTATGCAGTTAGAAGATGTCTAACTACTAGAAGACTTTCTTCATAATGTGAATGAGAGAGTTTTAAAAGGGTCAGCATTAGTGAGTGTAAGTTCTGCTCTTTATCCAGGAATTGGAAGAAGACCAAACTGAGATTGAGGGTAAAATTTGGTCTTTTTTTCTGTCCTTTTGTATTAGGAAGCATGTAAGAAACAATTGAATTCTCTTTACATTTTAAAGACTAAGCTGCAGTAGCTCAGAAGCTGTGCAATTATTCCTTCTGCTGGAGTAAACTTCAGTCGAAGGAGAAGGTTGGATGGCTGGGGGTGGTTTCCACATCAACCATCTGTTTTTGCTGGTGCTTGAGTCAAAGCCCACAATTGTCTCCCTTCTCCTTTCCCCTCAGCTCTCCCTGCCCCCGTATTTCAGCTGCTGGTGTGTCTTTGGGGTGGAGCCACAGCTTTACTCTTTTTGCTAGAAAATAAGTTTTGTTCCCTGTGCCCCCCTACCCAGTTTGGGATCAGATGATGCATGTAGCTCACAGAGGGGAGTAAGCTGATTCTTTATATTGCCTTGTTTCCTTAAACAGCCGTGCTATGCTATCTTTCATCTCTTTGTGCTTTCTCTAGTGCATGTCTTGTAACCCTTTTTCCTTTTGGCACAGACTTCAGTTTTCATCCTAAATCCTTTCTGTATAATGATGATCTTATTTACAGGTAAAGTACTTTAACTTCTCGAGAGCTTTTCAATAGCCAGCATGGTAGCAAGCATTTGTAACATCTGAAAGATGTTGCTTTTCAGCTTTTCCATGAAGGAGGGAACAACAGAATTCAAAAGAAAAACTTCTCTAGGGTGACAGCCTTGGCAGCTAACTGGAATGTTGGAACTCAGAGCTGCTTTGTCAATGACAAAAAAAAAAGACACCAAAAAGAAAAACTAGAGAGCTATTAAGCAGTAGTGCAAACACTAGAATGAGTTGCATTTGGTGAAATTGCAAAGAATGAATAAAATAAAAGTTTTTCCTGAGTGTGAGTACGCAGTGATGTTACAGTTGCCCTGAAAGGTGTCTGTCCATTCTCGTTCAGTTTCTATTTTTCTGAACTGTGCTAAATTTTTAGATACATCTGTACAGTTCAAACAGAAGAAATTTCTTGTCTTAAATCAAGCAATTAAAGTTATAAAAATGTAATTGATGTTGTTCCTGTTGTCATGCAGAATGATATTACAAGAAAGACGTTCCAGAATAACCAAAGGATAAATGTTCTCCCTGTTCTTGCCTGCTATTACCTTACTCATTAATATGCTAGGCTGTGAACTTAAAAACTTGTTAAATATGGATATTTGTGACTTATGATATTGGCAAATCCTTTTTCTTCTCCTTCCTTGCAGTTGATTAAATGTGCAAAGTATTCCATATTTCCTGAAACACATTGTCCAGTGCTTGTGGATAAACTGTTAACATAAGTCTGAAAACCTTTTGCTGTTTTGAGCAATTTTGATAAAATTGGAGTTTAAACTGATAGAAGAACAGTTACATTTGTGAATGTAGCTCCAAAGTGTCATTTACTCTGTGAGTCTCCATGTTTGGAAACATTGCTGCCTTCTTTGGTGCAGAAAGGTTTTGATTTTTTTTATTGTAAGATTTTGATATTTCCATTCAGTGGTAGAATAAAACACATTTCTCTTCCATACTGTAAACAAGTTAATTGTAACTGCAGTTTCAAGTTTCACAGAAAACCTGTTTGCAGTTTTGCCAGAGGGAAATATAATTTTTGTCTGATAGGTAAGGAGGCATTAAATTGTCGTCTAAGTGATTGATTTGTAGGAAGGATTCCCTTTTAAACTTGTCTGGCACAATAGAATCTTGATAGGAGTTGGGACTTTATTATAAAATACTGTTACAGTATGTTATTAGTTTAAAGACATTAATATAAAATCCCCAAATATCGCTCTTGCTTTCAGAGCAAAATGTAAAGCACCTCAACTTAAAACACCTCAGGAAAAATATGTTGCTGTTCTGAAGCTGTTCCAAACCAGTCCTTGACAGTGACACTTGTTTCAGTTTCAGACTGGCCTGCAGCCTGTCTGTGCAGAGCAGAGCAGCATGTTCAATTTGCTGTTCAGCGTGGTTTTTTGGGTTGCACAAGTATGGCTTTGTGAACCAGGGTTAACAACCAGTGCTTACAATCACAGAGCAAATTAGTGTAGGAATTTGGTTTTATTCTTTTCCTGGTTTAGTTTGACAGTAGCTGCTATACTACTGTCAATAATATGAGTCTTCAGTGGAAAGAAGGAAGGTAGACTTGAATTTTGTGATTCTTTTAACAAGAAGACCTGACAAACAGTATTCACCAGTTACATAGGAGAACCAGTTTTAACTGGATTTCAGATTTATTTTTGGAAAAACTGCAGAGACCAGAAACAGATTATTTTAACTGTGACTGTGTCTCAGAACATCTTGCATTTGAAGAGCTCTCTGAAAGTGGTAAAATTACAGTGAGATTACACACACCCACAGTAGTTTAAATATACAAAATGGTACACAAGGCAACTAACTGGTGATATTTGGTCCATAAAAAGAGAAACTTGGCTTTCTTTCAGAGTTGAATTTTTTCTTAACCTAACACTTTGAGGCTATTTCTGATATCTACATTTCATACGAACAGTGAAGATTTGATAGAATGAAGCATTCTCAGCTTCAGCGTGTTTTGCAGTTGAGATGACATGAAGGGCCCTTCTTTATGGGAGATAATACACGAACTTCTCATAACCTGAAGCAAAATCCTTTTTGTAACAATTTTTTTTCATCCAGAAAGCATGAACAGCTGGGTGGGGGCGTGAAGAATGAGAGGAGTTTGGAACAGAATGTCTTGAGCGTGTAAATGGTCGTATTTGTGAGCAAGAAACAGCAATCTCTTTCTGAGGAGGGTAGAACACAGAATCTATACCAAGCCCATTACAACATTTGAAATAAGAAAAATCATGCAAAGGTAAAATATAAAAAAGCAAAAATCCTTGGTAAAACACTACTTCATTTTAAATATCAATAAAATTTAGAGAATGGGTGAAGACAAAGGATGGTAGACATTTCCAGGACTGTTTTGCTATTGACTTTTCAACAGTGGGGATTTTCTTACTATATGAGAAACTTGCTTGTTGTTTTTACTGTTGCTAGGGGGTGTTTATGATGTACCATAACAAATAACTGTTCCTGCATGAAATGGAAGGAGCATGTAGATTTCTGTGCATCTTAAATTCAATTTGTAAAGTTAAAGACTCAAAAGATATTCTGATAGAGTAATGTATCAGTGCTTTGACTTGCTTAGTCTGATATTTTTTTTTTATTCTACCATCCCGTGGACCAATATCTGTGTAACCCATTTGAAAGCTCTAAGTGCTGTCAATGAAATTAATGTTAAGTTTTTATTTTTGTTGGTATTGCAAACTTAATGCTTTTCATTGTGCTTACCTCACGTCTTCTGGAGACCTGCTACGTTTATAAGAGAAACTGTGCAATAAAGTTGTAAAGATGACTGTAAAAAAAAGCTGCTGCTGGTAGAAGAATAAATACTGAATCTTGCTCCACCTGTAAGGGTTGCCTTGATGGCTATGTGTTAGGGGACGCAATTGTAAACTTTCTAATCACAGTTTATCAGTGTGCATGTTTGGGAGTGGTAAGACAAGGAAGCTTTCTTCAGTCTTTAGCCAAACTGAAAGCAGATCTCAAGAGGCAGTATTAAAGCATTCTGTGTAATGGCTAAAACAATACAAATGGACCATAAATCCTCAATACATGTATTGCTAATGAACACTGGTGTATATGACTCATAAACAGTGCCAGAAGCACCTGCATCTTAATTTACCAAGTGGAGGGAAATGTGAAAGCAGGCATCCCAGAATTACTTCTTGCCTGTAAATTTTGTGGAAAAATATTGTACTTGTTTCAGCTTTACAAAGTATGAGTGTTAAGCAGTTAATATAGATAAGTTCCAATTAACGTGAATAAAATATAAATAAATAAAAATACAAAAATTTTAGAAGTACAGAAACATACAGATTTTAAGAAATGACATAATTGTATAGGGCATTTGTACTGACTATAGCTAATAGCCTATATACCCTTAAAACAGGAATACAAGCCAACTATATATCTGTAATTCAGCCTATTTTAACTGAATTCAAATTCAGCCATTTCCATCTCTTCATGTCGTTCTTGTATCTCCATAAACATACAGCATTCTTAGCTCTTACTTTGTAGCATCACTACTGAATACACTGGGTTGTTCTTCAGATTGTTATTTTTGATAGTTTTGTAACCTATTCCCTTCTCTGTGAAATAACAGCTACCAGAGAGTTGCTGGCTTGTGTACTTGGTCTTGTGACAAAAACCGTGAGTGCATAATAAAATTTAGCAATTTCTTTTTTTGTTTCAATCTTCAGATTTCCTGTTTAAGTTCTTGGTCATAGGAAATGCTGGAACTGGAAAATCCTGTTTACTACACCAGTTTATTGAAAAGAAATGTAAGTACCTGTGAGCACAGTAAGAGTTCTCCGTTGCTTTGTACCACATGTGAAGGCTCTTCCTACATGAGTATCTATCTAGTCTTTGTATGGAAGTTCCCGTAATTCTCTTATTTGTATATATGAGGATTTTGACTGAAAATTATATTCAGAACCATGTTTTAAATCTTTATTGCTCGCTGTTTGTCTCTAATCAAAACCCTGATATTGAACAGTATATATATGAGGATTTTGACTGAAAATTATGTTCAGAACCATATTTTAAATCTTTATTGCTCGCTGTTTGTCTCTAATCAAAACCCTGATATTGAACAGTATTCTCTATTACTCTAAAATAAATATAACAGGATGATGATGAAAATACAGACTTTTTGTGAGACATATCTCACAGCTATAAGCTTCTCTAGATATATAGTAGAGACTTGGATCTTTTAGAAAATATACTGAGCAGATGAAAGAAAGGTTGAATTGCTTGAGTAGATTTAGAAAGCCTATGGGACAGAACTCAAATTTTCCAACATCTAGTCTCTTTCTAAATAAATAGACACTATGTTATTTATTAAGGACTGTGTTCTATGATAAATACTGGTAGAGATTCCATTGTAAATGTTTTTTAGAGATGAATAAATGAAAAACAGAATTTCCTGTTGGGTAGTGCACTTAGCATCACAATTAAACAAAAATAATATGCATTTAGAAACCTTTGTAAATCTAAGGTGGCTTATCTTTTTCAATGGAATGGTAATTCACCTTATTTCTTGAGAAATAGCTCTAGGACAATGTGTAATAGCTAAGGAACATGGCATGATTCTATGATTGAACTTCAGCTGTGACTTTGCTTCTAGTAAGTGCAGTTGCATATTGCTGAGAATCTGTGATATCAACAGTGTACGTAGAGCAAGTATCTTAACTTCATGCTTTAAAAAAGTAGCTCTTGCTTACTCATCAGCAAGATGGTGTCTTTTTGTGCTCTGCTTTTCCATGAATTTTAATTTTAAATCACATCAAAGTATTAGAAAACACAGAAAAAAAAGTGTACAAAAGTTATGTTGCTATTTGTTAATGTGAACTGGGAATGATTAAGGCAGGTCTTTCTAGTAGTAATTTTGTATTGAATAAGCTGTTCAAAAATGGTAAGAATGTTTATTTCTGCATGGTGGCAGTAGACTTGTGAGTGGCACTGAATTTGGTGCTTCAGGAAGTAGTTTATAATTTGAACACCAGGGAGTTTTGATCTATACCTAAATTGGATTATGTAAAAACTAATTATTCACTCTAAATATTCCCCAAATAAGTTTATTTTTCTTTCTTTTTTGTAGTCAAAGATGACTCAAATCATACTATAGGAGTGGAATTTGGTTCAAAGATCATAAATGTTGGTGGTAAATATGTAAAATTGCAGATATGGGATACAGCAGGACAAGAGAGATTCAGGTACCTTTTTCAATCGTTTTATTATGTGTTTGTTATTAAATTGTTGTTGTGGCTGTTGAGTATTATTTTTCCTTGCTAATAAGCAGGCATAGTTTCTTGGTCAGTGGAATTGTCTCCTTTCATATTAACTAGGCGAGATCTTCCAACATAGACATAAATCCCTTGATTTCAGTAAAGCAATGCTTCCTTGCAGGATCAGAGGTTCTGCCCATTTCTTTCACTGAGTATTTTCTATGATATTTAAGGTATATGAGAAGAATATGTGGCTAAAAGTTTGTTCACCAGCCAAACTCAGAATAGTTTTTTAACTCTGTGCTTAGAAGACCTTTCCATTGGTTGGAGTAAGTAAATGCCAGGAAATTGTAGGCTGTTAAAAATCTGCATGAGAATAATTTCATAGTATAGTAAAGGGGAAAAAAAATAAGTTGTCAAGTTCACTTGGCTAAATACACTTCTTGAAAGACTGAGATCTCTTAAGTTTCTTAAAGAAAAAGCAATGTATTTGTCAGCTTAGAACCACCAATGTACTTTTAATGCTGTGTTTTAACTGTGTTATACATCTGAGGCATAGATCAAACTGCGTAAACATGTAACATATTCCTGAGTACCTTCACCAGCAAAGAGGACATCAGGTTTTTTTATCTTTTTGGGGGTGGGGTAGATGTGGGAGGCTTGGGGGTGGGCAAGGGGGCAGTGGTTAACAAAGGTGAATATGGTGGTAGAAGTCTGAGTAATGGGCAGCAACCTAGGTAAATGTCCTCTATTAGATAAGTTCTTTGGATGTATCTGTGACTAGGTAAAGCTGGGTAGTGCTATGTAGTCTCTATTAATGGGATCTCTTCAGTGTGTTGGCCAGATATCATGGGATTCTGAGGAGCTTGGAGGCTCTGTACTTTCAGAAGCTTGTGCAAATTCTCCTCTTCCAAGTTCAAAGTTTTCTCAGACTTGCAGGTCCTTTTTTTCCTGTTGCTTTTTATAATTTATCTAATCCTTCTCTTTTAAGGCTGATCACAGCGCTGTGTGCTTTGCAGGTTTTCTTCTTCTTGAAACATAAGTTAATTATGCTGTTTTCATGCCACAGATACCACCATCAGCTTCCAGTTTTGTATCAGGCCATATAGTATGATGATATGTGTAGCTTCAGCGGCATACAGGTCATAGTGGACATTGAGAATCCTTGTACGGCTATGTTTAGTGAAAGTGCTTCGTCAAAAGTCTAGCTGTAAATAGTCTGCTGCTGCACAGCTGATAATGTTGTCTAAAAACCAATTTTTTTTAAAATATGTAAATGAGAGCTCTGTTTCAAAATATAGATGGCATTATATTAACCCAGATTTGAAACAATTAAGATATTACAGAAATTTACATCTATAATTCTATTTCAGGTCTGTAACAAGGAGTTACTATAGAGGAGCTGCAGGTGCTTTGCTTGTTTATGATATAACCAGGTAAGAAAGCTAGCAACTCTTTTGCTTATAGACTACCAGATACAATTAATGCATAATGATTCCCCCCCTGAGTACCTAGTCCTCTAATGGAGAATGGGCAGGAAGAAAAGAAAGTAAGTATGAAAAGTACTTCTGGTTTATTGCATATTTAAGTTTTGGAACGTGCTTACATGAGAAATTGTGAATGTCATAAATATAAACAGTCTCAAAGGGTTAGACAAATACATGGGAATTGGCCCACCAGTAGCTGTTCTAATAATGATGGACTACTTGCAACCGCTAGCTTAGGAAGCCTTGCAACAGAAATTAAGAGCAGACTTTAGCCACTTTTAACCAAGGTAGCACACCCCTATTTGTGGAAACTGCTTACTTCCATGTAGGTGCTGGTATGACAGGTCATCCTCTGGAGAAGCCAGCTCTAGCTACACATTCCTTAACTGTAGCTCAAAATTCTGTTAATGTCTGCATTTTTTAAATATTTTAATATTATAGGCAGCCAATAGAATACCTTACCATTACACATTTCCACATTTTTTTTCCTGGCTACCATTGACTGATACTTGTCAGATAAGTTTTGTGTTGGTTAATGATGATTTGCTAGATCTATGCTTTTTGTCCTGTGTGTGTGGACTGTTCCCTTCTGAGCAGTCTTTGAAATCTGTGTTTTGTGCTCAAGGTCGCTTGGACTCATCTGTCATTCTTACTGCTTGAAGGCTTTATCTCTGACTGCTACTGCAATGACTAGTGGTGTGTGCAGGGTAACTGCCTGCGATGTTATTGGTCTTGACACAAATGTGAAAGTTCAGGCATACAATTCTCCACAACTGGAGTAGATTCTTACAGTCCCACCTGAAACTTAAGTATCAGTTGAATTCCGTGTCAAACAATAACTTATTCTGTTATCCCACAATTTCATGCACAAAAGGCTGAAGCTAGATTAGTGCTTAAAATTTTAGCTTTTCATACTAACAGGGTATTTTATAATTTTTATATTT